CAATTTTCCCTCCCAAATAAATGATTTCTATTAGCAGGAAAGCATGGAGTTATTTCTTAAATAGAAAGAACTCTTTCGTGACCCAAATTCTTACTCCAGTTATCACCCGTTTCTTTCTCTTATTTTATAGTAAACCTCCTTGGAAAAACGATTTATATTTTCTGTCTCTAATTTCTTTCCTCCCATTATTTCTTGAACACTCTTTAACCATGTTTTTACTTCCACTTCTCCAGGATAATTTCTCTTGCCCAGCTCAACCAAACCCTCCACATTGCTAAATTCAACAGCTAACTTTCCAGTCTTGATCTCACTCAGCCCATCAGCAGCATCTGACACAATCAATCATCCCCTCTCTCCTGAAACACTCTCCTCCAGGCACCATACCCTCTGGGTTTCCTTCAAGCTCCTTTCTGCTGACTCCTCTGTCCTCCAAATTCATGACACAGCTCAGTATTTGGAGTTCTTTTCCATTTGTAGCTGTTCCTTTGGTGATCTCATCTAAATGTGTACTTCTAGTCCAGATCTCTCCCTATCTTCCAGACTCTTCTACTCAACTTCACCACCACTAGGACACCTCAAACTTAACATGTCTACAAGGGGACTCAGTCCTCTCTGCATCCCTGTAAACGGCAACTTCTTTTGTTCAACTCTGTACATGAATAGCATGCGGCACGTGAATAGCCTATGACTGTACTCTCTTGCAAAACTTGTTCAATCTGTTTGCAATTCCCAGAAGCTCTACATCCTGCTCTTCTCAACATCTCCTCTGCTGGGCGCTTCTCCAAGCCACCATCATCTCTTTCCTGGATTCATGCAAAAATATCCTAACTGATATCCCTGCTTCTGCCCATGCCTCCTTTACTATTCCCCCCGTCTAATAACACCGGGCAACCAGAGTGACCCTAATACAATAAACCAGATCTTGTCATGCTTCTGCTCAAAACTGTCCAAGGATTTCTTATATCACTCAGAGAAAAGCTGAAGATCCCCTGTGACCACTAAGGCCTGATGTCAACTGGTTTCCATTGTCTCACTGGTGTGATTTCTTACTATTCTCCACCCTGCTCAGTCAACCCCTGTCATACTAGCCCCCTCACTGTTCCATGAACTCCCCAGGCATGTTCCTGCCTCAGGACCTTTGCACTTGCTGTTCTCTTTCCCTGGAAGAGAGAATCACCTTTGCCAACTTTTTATAAAATTGTAAGGCCCTCTCAACACTTCCTGTTTTACTTTCTGCTCCTTAGCAATTACTAATATTTTATATATATTTACTTATTTACTTTGTACATAAATTCCAACAGGGCAGAGATTTTTATCTGTTTTATTTATTACTGAGTTCTTAGTGTGTAGAGCCATGCCTGGCATAGAAAGAGTGTGCAATAAATATTTGCTGAATGAATGAACTATCATCAAGATGGTATGATTTATCTAATTACAGTTATTTTGTAATGACTGTAATGATGTGGGTTTTCTCCCACGTTCTGCATGATTCTAAAGAGGAAGAATCTGCTCCATCAATACAACTGCTATTCACACATTCTAAATAATTTAAAGGTCTTCCATGATTTGTACGGAAAGTGGTCACGATGGGCATAAATTAAAAATGAACTATATCTAAAACAGAAAATGTGGGTTCACCTATATGCGTGTCCCTCTAGGAAGGGAATCTAAACAGACAGACACTAAGAAGCAAATCACTTGGCAATAATACTTGATTCGGGAATGTCGCTGTCCTTTTGCTTTCCCTGGGCCCATGTGAGTGACAGGGTATTAAAGAGCCAGGGGCCAGAGGGAGCGTGTACCTGCTGACCAGCCAGGCTGGGGCAACGGCTCTAAGAAAATTCAATGTGACTATGTCCTCACTTTTATCATGAAATGAAGATTCTCCTAGCTGTGCTCCTTGACATTCAATGTTAAAAGGTAAGGATTCTCTTCCTGCCAGACTGTGGACTACAGAGCCTGCCTTTGCCCATCTGGAAGCATAAACCTCTGAGTCTATACAGCAGGTCTTCCATAATTTTTGGACATCAAGATACAGAGCAAATGAAGAAGAGACTAGCAATTCACAAAATGTACTTTGTGTTAATCATTTCAGATGTACAAGAACTCCTGGATTTTCTTTTTTGCTTTTCCACTTGAATTAAGTTCTTTGTTTTGTGTATAAAAGGTTGAAGTAACTTCCAGAAGCTGAAATAGCCATTAAAACGGTCTCTCCATTGCAGCCGTTTAGAAAACACTTGATTGAAATAAGAGGGTTTCTGATGGTTTCTAAAGCTAATAATGCCATGTAGCTACTGGTTTATTGTTCAACCAAGGAGCATTATTTTAATTATCTGTGGCAGGTGGAAATAAAATTTTCTGTAATGCTCTGCTGTTTTCTAACCTGCACAGGTCCCTCTTCCTGCTGAGCTGCTGAGGCCGCGAGGGTGCAGAGTGGAGCTCGGAGGCAGGCTGACAGCCAGCTGTGCAAAGGGTGTGGGCGGTAGGAAGACGGGAACCGGGCGGTGGGAAAGGCTACTGAGGAAGAAGGTCCTTCGCTGTTGGGAGTGGAGAGAAGCTTGTGGGATAGAGGAGAATAGGGAGGCTGATGCTCAGAAAAGAGCCTTTGGAGGCAAGGGGAGGAAGAGACGCTTAGAATGTTTTTATGAAGTTTTGCCATATGTTGACATCACCTTTTTTCCAACCACTGTTTTCCCCCCTAGTATACGTTAAAATAAATACATTAAGAACTGTGGCTTGTAACCAAACAGAATGATCTTGTGTACAGCCACAATCATGAAAGCAGTTCATCATCACACCGTGGTCAGCACAACTACATAATAAAGGGCAGAATAATCCTCGTCCGCTACCGGCCCTAATTCCGACAGATGGAGACTGTAGTCTAGGTATCTGAGGTGTGTGGGAGATTTGTCATCTCCGTAGTAATGTGTGTGAAAAAGTATTAGGCTTTTTGAGTTTTAACTAATAAGTCATGAAATGACATTGTAAAGACCTATGTAGAAGAAACCCCAGGATTGGTGAAAACAGTCATGAAACTTAAAACATAAATCTTTCATCAGTTGAATGAAGCTACCTAGTTTTGATGGGACTCAAAGTTTTGAAAGAGTCAGAATGGATCAGAAAAAGGACTGACATTATATAGGATCGCGTGGCAATTCAGAGCTTTTATTTCTTTATATGAAAACCCTGAAATTTAGCAATAAGAATAAAAGATGAAGGCATCCATTTTTATGGTAAAAAAAAATAATAAATGCACTAATAATGTTAAGAAAAGAGAGTGTACATTTGCCTCTATAAGCACTAAAAGAACAAGATTTATCAAAAATATGTTTAACGGCCCTGGCCGGTTTGGCTCAGCGGTTAGAGCGCCCGCCTGCGGTCCGGAGAGACCCGGGTTCGGTTCCCGCTAAGGGCATGTGCCTTGGTTGCAGTTTGTCCCCGGCCCTGGTTGATCGTGCGGGTGTCAGCCACTCGATGTGTCCCTTTCACATCAATGTTTCTCTCTCTCTCTCCCTCCCACTCTGTCTGTACAAAAAATGGAAAATTGTCCTCGGGTGAGGATAAAAAATATATATATATACATATATATGTTTAACGGCCCTGGCCGGTTTGGCTCAGCGGTTAGAGCGTCGGCCTGCGGTCCTGAGAGACCCGGGTTCGGTTCCCGCTAAGGGCACGTACCTCGGTTGCAGTTTGTCCCCGGCCCTGGTCGGTTGTGCGGGTGGCGGCCACTCGATGTGTCCCTTCACGTCGATGTTTCTCTCTCTCTCTCTGTTCCTCTCTCTCCCTCCCACTCTACCTGAACAAAAAATGGAAAAATGTCCTTGGGTGAGGATAAAAATAAATAAATAAAAAAAATATATGTTTAACGGATACAAGAAAGATTTTCTGGAACCCGACAAAAATGAAAAACAGCAGCACGTTCAATTCTGTCTGTGGCTCCAGGGGAACTTGCACCGGAGACAGTCTTTTGAGCAATGTGGTTCCACTTTCCTCAGAGTGAGACCTTGCAGACCACACTCATCTCGCCGGTTTCCTAACTCTCTTTGAAGAGACTCTAGAACAAACACTGCTTGTTTTTTAAATCCTCAAGGGTCGAGACCAGTCTGACAGAGCTGGAAAAAGCCCTTTCATCTGAAGGGCCCCAAGCTCAGCACGCAACCTGCACCCTGCAAGGCAAAACCTGGAGGCCTGGGTTCAGAGATGTAGCCCCTCGGCCTCGAGGAGCAGAATCAGAAACACACACAAAAATTTTAACTGCCCGTGTGCTTCTTATTGACTATGAAAAGCTCTGGAATCTTTGTACAATTTTTAGGGACAATCTGAGAAGAGTTACATAATCCACCCACCAGGACTAAGTTCTACACACGCACACAGTATTTCTGGGTGCACAACAGTCTCATTGTGGGTTATTAACAGAGACCTGGCAGGACCCCTTGTACCTTCCTCACTAAATTTCTCTTAAAACTCCCCATGCAAAGAGGAAGGAGGGAAGGGGGAGAGAGAATACTGAAAGATGTCGCTTAAGTTTGGGAACATGATGAAAAACAGCCTGCATGTTTTTTAAAACTAGAATCATTTTGTAAGTTCCAGTTTGGGTCAAAATCGGCCCGTCTCCATTGGTGAGTGAGGAATGCCCAAACTTGTTATGTAAAAATAGCCTCCAGTGTGGGGCGATGCATTTTATCCAAAGTTGTCATTAATCCATGAGTCTAGAACACTCCATTCACAGAGACAGAGAGACAGCGGATGAAGGAAGTCAGATACATTATAACCCTTTGAAACAATCAATTCCATTGGAATAGAGCGTTTTGATTTTCACGAAATCATTTGGCATTAAAATGCTCGCAAGGCACACTGTGCTGTGCAAGTAACTGCTGGGACATTCCCCAAACACTGCAAACTCGGACCAAATAAAACCTCCAGCTAACATGATGAGTCACTGCTTTTTGCTTGATAGGAACAGATGTATATTTTTCCTCACCCAAGCCAACTATTACCTCTTTTTCCATTTGTAATCCTTCTGCTCTGATATTTCTTTCAAATACTTCTCTCTTTTCCGTCTGGGGGTTGGATTTTCTGTACACGAGAATGTAGTCAATCCGACACTTTCCGTCTCTGAAGTAAAGTCCATTGGATTTGTTTTTCTCCCTCGCTGTCTGCACACAAAGAGAAAGGACCAGCTTGAGACACTCAAAAAACTGAGCCTTGGGTGAGCACTGTTAAAGAACAATGAAAACGAAATGCATTTTTCTTGTGTTTTATCAAAATTACATTTTTATTACTGAAACATGTAAACAAGAGGAAACTGAAGAAAAACTGGAAAAGGCACTAAATTGATTGGGCAAAACTTAGGACACCTAACAATACCAAATGCTGGCAAGAACATGTAGCAGCTGAGAATTCCCACATTCTACAAGTGAGAGGAAAACTGATGTACTTACTCTGGAAAACACTGGCATTATCTTGTAAAACTGAACATTTGCATAACATGAGACAATTCTGATAAAGCAGCAAAGGAGACATGTAAATGAATACTCATAGCAGCATTGTTCAGAAGCAGAAGTGTAGAAAATAAAAAACTGGAATCAATTCATATGCCCATGAACAGGTAAATAGATAAATAAATTGCGTAATATTCATAGAGTGGAGTCTTTATACGGCACTGAACATGAATGGACTATAGTTGCATCTAATAAGATAAATCTTAAAAACAACATTGACAGAAAAAAACAAGTCACTGAAGACTTCATACAGCATGCCATTTTTTTTAAAGCACTGAATAAAATAAATCTAAAAAGAAGTTGTTATGGCTACATGTATATGTGGTAAAACTATGTTTAGAGCAAGAGAATAAAAAACACACAAATTCAGGAAGATAGTACCTCTGATAGTACCTCTGGTAGGACTGATTACCAGTAGCTTTAATGGTTTTAGTAATAATCAAGTTCAATGTTTCAGGAATTTTTTTTTTTTCCCACATAAGAAAAACATTTTACATTGTGATATTTGTGCATATATATAAACACACAAAATATCTGAGACGAAAGTTTTACAAAATAATACCTATTCTTTCTCCTTGCATGCACATGAACATTAATTTTCCATTCCATCAAAAAACAATTGGAGCTAGTCACCTGCAATTAGGTTGCCATCGTAATTTGAAAAATACCATTCTAATGGGTAAGTTGGATGGTGAGTCAAGGTGTTGATTTTATTATTATGTTTCCTAACTTACATACAAGTTACAAATGTCATTTTGCAGTGATGACATCTATAAAATTCAAAGAACAAAAACAGTCAGTGTCATTTTTGTCCAGACCCCGTGGGCTCGCTGCAATCAGGAAAGACCCTAAAAGAGACCATCAGCATGGCTGCCCAGCCTGGAGCCAGGATTCTCAGGCTGCTCAAGGTCAAACACATGCCTGTAAACCAGCAAGTAGAAGTGGAGGAGCTACCTTTCCTCTAGGCCACAGTATACGTCACTTTCCAGATACCAGGAGGAAGAAGGCAAACGTGCCCCACCACCAAGACCGGTGCTGGGATCCACAGTCTTGCACACAAGTGCCATGCACGCAACCTCATCTGAAAGAACATCGCAGCCAGGACGGATGGAAATGTCCATTACAACAGACACTTACAATGGATGACCAGTTCTCACTGAGCAGTTTTGGACTCTTCCCTTAAGAGGTACTCAGAAGTCTACCCAAGTAACATTTTCTTAGTTATTTCCAAGCAAGGGCTTTAGCACTTCAGCACCTGCCTGCAACATCGGGCTTCGGCCAAGGGACCGGGTGAAGGGTTAGCAAAGCCCTAACCTCCCTGAGACTGTTTCCTCGTCTAAATTAAGGGGATGAGACTAGTTGCTTTTCAAGGCCCCACTCAACTTCTCTCCGTTAGTCCACATCATGGCGTGCAAAGTATCGGTGTGAAGATGATGGCAAAATTAGACTTGAAAAGCAAAACACACGGATAGTAGCAGCATGTGGTGTTCGCAGGGAGAAGTCTGGGAAACTTGGTGGAAGGAAACATTCCTCCCTGCCACCCTTTCAATGGCTAACTGGCTCTGGAATAACACAATATTAGAAATGTGCAGTACTTCAATGACTCGTTCTGTGTTCCTATTGCCTATACCCGGGGCATATACAGAGGTATTAAACCCCAGTGAAACACAACCCGAGCAACAGTGAACGTCTCTAACAAAATACTTCTTTTTCCGAAATGACACATGAACGGATGGGTCTATTTGCGATTACAGTGAGTTTCCAGAGAACACAGGTGAATGGAGACGCACAGAGGCTCCAGCACCACAATCTACCGAGGGCTGCGCATTCTGTGTCACTATTCTAGGCGTCGGGGGTTTACACAAGCTTGTCCATCCTTGTAAAGCTTCCGTTTTCCTAGTAGTAACACTCAGAATGTAAATTTTCTTAAAATAACAGGTGGAGTAAAGACTCTTCCTTTGTATAAACAAGATGTCTTTAGGTATAAGATGGACCCCCGATGGTTTGTTTTGAGCCTGGGTAGATTTGGGACTGCTGAGATACACCAGACCCGTGGCAGATGTCAAAGAATCTAAGACCCGCCCTCGTTTGCCAGGAACATACAGTTCAATGAGATGGTCACGTTACACAGTCCCTTGGACATCGCTTTACAGGTGCTCGCCTGGACCAAAAATTGTCTTTTTAAGAAATCACATTCTCTTACCTCTCCCCCTGCTTCCAATCTGCTAGCATCATCTGAAGTACTGGTCAGGTTTCCAGGGTGAAGGAGAGAATCGTCATCTTTGCAAGGACTGTTGACAGCTTCTAATTCATCAAAAAGAATATTGACGTCCTTGGCCACTAGAACCAAAGTAAATATATTACAAGTGGCATTAAGGATCTGGGGTCTTAAAAGCAACACTGAAAGAGAAGACACCTCCCTTGGGTTTCATTTTTTTTTTTTTTTATTGTTTCAATAACACCTTGAATGACAGGTATTTATTTCCTAAGAGAAAAGGATGTCAGATGGAAAACAAGTTTGTCTAAACAGTGTCTTCATTAGGTGAGATTAAGGACAAAGTGAAGCAAAGTAAAGTATCTTTATAATATAAATATAACTTGCCTCCCTGATAACAGGAGGTGTTGTGTTTAACTTTCCTTCACATAGTTGTTTAGCATAAGGTACGATATTAGAGGCTTCTAAGAACTCATTCTCTGTGCTGGAGATGACCTATCCCCCCCCCCCCCATTTAAATGCCTTACAACTTGCTAAGTGAATCCATAAATGTGCCACTTGCATAGTGCGCTAAGAACTGTGATTTTCTTCCTCCTTTGTTACTTAAGACTTAATAGAGAAAACCCAATGCAGTGAAGACATGCAGTTAGATTTTCTGCCTCTTTCCTCCTCTGATCGTGGACTGAAGTCATGAAGTCAGTACAGAAGGCACTGGATGTCAGAGTTCCCATACAGAGTGCCGTGTTCAAGCGCACAGAGCCTTGCAGCACACTGAAAACAACAGGTCAGCACCTGCCCTGGCCGGTTGGCTCAGCAGTTAGAGCATTGGCCCACGGACCAGAGTCTAGGGTTTGATTCCAGGTCAAGGACACGTACCTCGGTTGTGGTTCGGTCCCTGGCCCTGGTTGGGTTGTGCAGGAGGCAACCAGTCGATGTGTCCCTCTCACATCAATGTTCCCTCTCTCTCTCCCTCCCTCACTCCTACTTTGTCTGAAAATCAATGGAAAAATATCCTCAGGTGAAGATTTAAAAAAAATTTTTTTAAAAGAAACAAAAAAAGTTTAGCACTACTGCGTGGGGATGTATGGTGCCAAGTATCAGTCCCTTCTCTACCAACTCAAATCATGGACCAATACTGAAGTTCACTTTAAATGTGGTGAAGGATTTTTAACCTGTCAGAAGCCACTACACAGAATTGTAGGCTACTGGGCTCTATATACCTAAGCATACAAAAGACTCTCCCTTCTTTCATTCAAAAACTCTTTAGAAACAAGCACACTGTGTCAGGTACAGAGATGTGTGATGGCCATACCTTGGTGAATACAAGTGATAGGTCTTCTTGCCCCTGTGGTGATAAGAAAAATAAAATCGCCCTGGCCAGTTTGGCGAGTGCTGGCCCGCGGACCAGAGAGTCCTGGGTTCAGTTCCCCCTAAGGGCATGTACCTTGGTTGCAGCTTGTCCCGGGCCTCGGGTGGCGTCATGTGGGTGGCAACCAGTTGATGTGTCTCTCTCACATCGATGTTTCTCTCTCTCTCTTCCCCCCCCCCTCCCTCCCACTCCATCTGAAGATAAATGCAAAAAAATGTCCTCGGGTAAGGATAAAAAAGAAAAGAAAAAAAAAACAAAGAAAGAAATATAGAGTGCTATAAAGAAAAGAACTGAGTTTAGATAGAGAGAGAAGAAAGATGATGCATTTAGATAGAGTGACCAGAAAGCTGTAACCAAATGAGTGATTTTAGGCAATTTGTTTTATTGCAAGTTTTTCATCTGTGAAATAAAGCGGATATGGAAATAAAATAAATATTTATTACTTAGTGTGACAGGCTGAATCATGGCCCCCAAAGGTGACCTAATTCCTGGAAAGTGAGAATATGATACTTCACACAGCAAAAAGGACTTTGTAGACGTGATTAAGTCAAGGATCTTAAAATGGGGAGATTATCCAGGATTATTGGGTGGGCCAAAGTAAATACAAGGAGGCAGGAGGGTCAGAATGAGAGAGAGATTGGAAGATGCTACACTGCCGGCTTTGAAAAGGGAGGAGAGCCACAAGCCAAGGGATGCAGGCAGCCTCTGAAAGGAAAGGCAAAAAAAGCAGATTCTCCCCTAGAGCCTCCAGAAGGAACACTGTCTTGCTGACGCCATGATAACTTCTGGCCTACAGAACTGTTAAGTTAATCAATTCGTGCTGCTTTGAGTCACTAAGTTTGTGGATTTGTTACAGCAACAAACAAAAACGAATACATTTCCTACAGGTTTTTAGACTCTGAGGCTACAAAGAAAAAAAACAACCAAGGTTCTTTTTATACAACCAAGGTTTAAGAACGTCTGTTCTGTGCCAGTAACTCAAGGCCACTAACACTTTTTGAAGAAGTGCCGTGTGGTCAGTGTTGTGGGAGGCGTCAGATCAAAGACAACGTCCCTGACCACCCCATGTAAAGAAACCCCCCAATCCAATTATTATTCATTGCCTCTCATTGCTAATTTTCTTCACAGCACTTACCACAACCTGTAATCATATTGTTTACTCATGTGTTTACTTGTGTAAGATATTTACCCTATTAGAATGCAAGTTCCTTTAGGGCAGGAATACTGTCTGTCTTGACTGGGGGACAGAATGGAGTAAACCCTCAACACTGTTGCAAGATGGAATGACGACCTCAGAGTGGTGACGTGTCCTGATGTCTGAGATCTGCCTTTTCTCCAACCTTCTATGGCTCTAGGACCTGGCATATATGTTTCTCCTAACACGACTCTTATTCACAAGCCACCGATTCAAGTCAATACTGATTAAATTTTCACATTGACAGTGATTAAATTTCAAGTAGATATTGGTTAGATTTGAACAACAGGATAAAATATGATTTTATCAAAGTCAGAAAATGTGCCTACTATTCTAAACTCTACCGCTTAGCCGTGTGAATCTGTGCTCCTGTTTTCTCACTGGTGAGACAGGTATAGAAAACTTCTCTCCTGGGGTGGCTGAAGGGTTACATGAGCTAATGTACATATTATCAGGTTGCTGACACATAGCAGAACCACAAAAAAATAATGTTGGTTTGTCAAATTGAGACCCTGCACTTTATGTTAGCATTCCAGCCTTATCAATACAAGGAGGCAGAGGAGAAATGTAGTCAATAATATTGGGATAAGTATGCACAGCGACAGGTGATCACCAGACTTAGTGAGGTGATCACACTGTAAAGTATATAAATGATGAGTCACTATACTGTATACCTGAATCTATTATAATATTGTATATCAACAATACTTAAAAAAATTTTTAAGTCTAAAAAATAGGGACTGGTTGTTAAAAGGGATAGATGGGGACATGATGAGGGACAAAGGGGGAAGCTGAAGAGGCCCTGAGACCCTCAAGCAGGCGGCTGGCTCGGGCTGGGAGAACCTGAACACCCACCCACGCATCCATCCATGAGAACTGCCCTATGCGTTTGTCACGACAATTACCCGCTCATCTCCTGCCAGTATCACTTTCTGTTGCTGGCATAATCGGTTCAATAACGTCCTCTCCATCTGTGGTTCTCAGCTGGACCAAGCTGTCACCCTGGAGACATCCAGCATTGTCTAGATTCGTGTTTGGTCCTCGGGGCGGTGCTAAGAGTAACCAGGGGGTAGAGGCTGGGCTGCTGCCGAGCGTACTACACCGCAGAGCAGCCCCCACGATAGTTACCCAGCCCCAAGTGCCTACAGCACTGAGGCTGAGGAACAAGGCCCTGCGTTAAAGCCCCAGCTGTTTGACTCTAGCGCAGCGGTTCTCAACCTGTAGGTCATATGACCCCTTGGGGGTTGAACGACCTTTTCACAGGGATCGCCTAAGACCATTAGAAAACATATATTTCCTGTGGTCTTAGGAACGGAGACACTGCTCCTCTGTCCGTGTCCAGGTGGGTCCGCCCACGTGCAGATGTGCCCACGTACAACACGAGGAACTGTGTTAAAGGTCGGGCATTAGGGAGGTCGAGAACCACTGCGCTAGAGGGACCAGCTAAGTTGGGGAGAGGGAGCGGAACCCTATCCCTGTCCATCAGAAACACCTGTGCAAGTCATCATGGGGCTGATGCCACCTGGGCGCTGAAGCGAACTCGGCGTGTCGTGGCAGTGTGATTACAGGACAGTGAGTGGTATTAAGGCACCAGGATTACACGCCAGACTGTCAAGAGCTGCAGCAGAGATTAGAAATGCTGAGCTGTCAGAAGATGCTCAGCCGAACACGTGCTCAGGAAGAAGGCTGTAGAATATGGAAACATTCCACAGCCTGAAGAAACGTGTGCCCGTCGTCAGCATTTCACTGTCGTAACTGATCTGCCAGCTTTAACTGCGTGACACATTTTAGAAACACACCACAATGTCCTTTGATGCAAACTTGCATTATTTTTTTTCAAAGAGAAAACAACCCCCAACTTCTGAGGTTAACCAATGTTTAAAAATCTATTTATTCAACAAGTATTTATCACATGCCTACCATGGGCAGACGCTGTGCTGGGCTAGGAACTGGGCTCGCGTACTGGCCATGACCCGCGTGGCCTCTGTCCTCACAAGCTCACAGCCCAGCCATCCACGCACATGCCTGTCACAGACAGACTCCTCATCCAAATAAGGTCACTTGTTAATGGTTGCCATCCCCTCCCTTATACTTTTTTCTCAAAGAAAAATAGGTTTGATAAGTTCCTGCCTAGAACAATTGTACTATTGGTTCCATTAAATAAGAAAGGGAGCCAATGTCCCGTGGAGCTGATTAAGAATGACTGGAGGGAGCCCCAGACGGGTGGCTCAGTTGGTTGGAGCGTCGTCCCATACACCAAGCAGGTTCAGAGTTTGATCCCCGGTCCAGTCCTGTACAGGAGGCAACCAATTGATGTTTTTCTCACATCAATGTTTTTCTTTTTTCTCTCTCTCTCTCTCTCTCCCTTCTGTGAAAAATCAATAGAAATATATCCTTGGGTAAGGTTAAAAAAAGAAGAAGAATGAGTAGAAAGAGAGAGAATGAAAATGCAAAAATTTCAGGCGACCCAAACAATGGACCTGCATTGCATTTGGACTCAGGAAGGGCTGTGTGAACAGAACTGGGCAGCTAAGACGGGTCAGGGTAGCTGGATACCATCT